AAATCGGCTCTGTGTGATTAGTTACAATGTGTTTTGGCATTGCTGATGCTAAATCTGGTGCAGCATCGTATCTTCCCAGAGCATAACTGAAAATGCTTTTTAATTTAATTTAATTTGTAATTTTAATTTTAGTTTTTGATTGACAGAGGAGAAAGTCTTGCTGATTAATTGTATAAATTTGTCATTGTTATTTTTATAATTAATTGTCCAACAATCCAATGATTACTTTATAAATGAAGGAATGATGGTTTGATGTGTGGAATGATGTGCAGTGGTATGGAATAATATTAGATTTCTAAAGACACTATTTATAATTTTTTATTAATATAGTGGATTTACTCAGCAAATAATGAAAAAAAAATGTTTTAATCAATAAAGCAAAAAAAGAAAAAAAGCAAGTAACACAACGAATTAAACATGAAATTCTGAAGTTTGATGTGTGGAATGATGTGCAGTGGTATGGAATAATATTAGATTTCTAAAGACACTATTTATAATTTTTTATTAATATAGTGGATTTACTCAGCAAATAATGAAAAAAAAAATGTTTAATCAATAAAGCAAAAAAAGCAAGTAACACAACGAATTAAACATGAAATTCTGAAGTATAAAGAAACATACTAAAAATAATATTAACTTTGAAAAATTAATTTTAATACTAAGGTTAACACATCTATTGCTGCTCATGTCGCTCTCTTCTTTTACAGGACAAAGTGGACAGCTGCTTTATAGCAGTGCAAGCCCACATTGACAACATAAAGGACTTGTGAGTATAGCGCCATCTACTGCAAGAAGTGATCTTCCTAACATATCAGTGCTTCAAGTCAAGATGACTCATGATGTTTTTGATCATAAAAGTTTATCTGACAGTTCTGATAATAAACATGTAATTGTTTTTTTGTCTGTTGAACAGCCTTCATCGGCTGACCCAGGGTGGCGGACCACCCCCGGACCCCACTCCAGGTGGAGCTAAACCCAAAGCCCATTGAGACGCCTCACAGAGGAGGAGGAGCTACAAGCTGTCACTCAAAAATGTCTTAATTAGCAGTTTGTGCTCAGAGTCCCGCCTCTGCAGCAGTGGGGGAGGGGCTAATGACACAGGGCCTTATATAGGAGGAGATATGGATTTAAGGGAGGACCATGCATATCAGTGCTTCAAGTCAAGATGACTCATGATGTTTTTGATCATAAAAGTTTATCTGACAGTTCTGATAATAAACATGTAATTGTTTTTTTGTCTGTTGAACAGCCTTCATCGGCTGACCCAGGGTGGCGGACCAGCCCCGGACCCCACTCCAGGTGGAGCTAAACCCAAAGCCCATTGAGACACCTCACAGAGGAAGAGGAGCTACAAGCTGTCACTCAAAAATGTCTTAATTAGCAGTTTGTGCTCAGAGTCCTGCCTCTGCAGCAGTGGGGGAGGGGCTAATGACACAGGGCCTTATATAGGAGGAGATATGGATTTAAGGGAGGACCATGCAAAGAACAATCTTGGATGAAAATCAAAGGCTTTGTAATTCTGAGAAGTTAAAGACACGTTTTCATTTCCACATTTCAGTATCAGTATGAGTGTATGAATGAAACACAGACCACTAGGATACTTGAACCACCTGTACAATAACAGCCCCTTGAGAGTTATCTGAATAAACATGGATGACTTCAGTGAAGTAAAAGCAGTGACGGCTTTCTGAATCCAGACTGACTGCAGTTCGCCTGCCAGAAATATAATGCAGGACCAGTTTCCAAATGGGGTTTTTACTTATGACAGTCTCGAAATATCTCGTTGTGTTGGTGTGCGTGTGTGTGTGTGTGTGTGTATGCGTGGCCAGCTTAAGCCTGTTAAAGTACCTAAGAGCTATTAAAACCACAATGTTATTTTCGTTTCCAATATTTTGTTTCCTTGGTATTATTTCAATGTACGTTTGATTTCCCATCAAAGCGAATCACTCTCGCCACCCTATACAGTATACTAAAACTTGACTGCACCACATACTTGACAGCTGACCTTTGTACAAAAACACGTCAGAAGAATCACCACGTGGCTTATCACTGAGGTCAGGTGAACTTTTGACCTCATGTGGCAGAATGAATCAGTCAAATGTCTTTTGAATCACAACATCCCTACAAAAGGGGCTATAATGGCTTAAATTAACAGTAGTTCTTTTGGGACACAAAAATATTGTATGACTTCAGAAGATATTGAATATATGGATGAGATGTATGGACCACTTTTATGGTGCGCCAGAGAGAACAGTACAGATGGTTAAGTAGGTGATATGCTTCCATATAAGCCATATTTTAGGGACTAGAACCCTTGTGAAAAGTAGTACACTCTAGCATACTTTTAAAAAGAGTACTTATTACAAAAAAAAAAGATACTTCAAGTATGCTGTAAAGTTTATTGCCAAATGTACTGACAGTAAATTCAAATATACTTGAATGTGATTTCTATTAAAACTTGTATGTCATTCTTTAAAAATAGGTTTGTAATTACACATTTGTAAAATATATTAACCTTACATGTAATATCAAATAACACTACTGTTAAAGTTATAATCAAACGTTTACATGTGCTTTAATATGTTAGTCAATATGTCAAAATACGTGTACTTCTGTAAAGCACAACAAAAGATTATTAAAACATAAGATTTAAAATGTACTAGTAAAACCTTTCATTTGAAATGATTACAAACGGCACTTTTTAAAAAGGTTTCCATGGCCATTAAGCAATGGAGGGTCAGCAAAACTATAATTCCCTTCCTCCCTCTGCACTCTTCCTAATAACATCAGGAAGCCTTTAAGCCTTAAAAGGTTTAGTCACAGGCCTGAGTGGATGCTGATAATAACACTTTAACACATACTGTATGTTGTAGTTTCACTTTTCAATTTTTTGTTTGGTTTTGCAATATAGAGAATTTTGTTTTAGGACAAAAACTGGAACACACAAAATAAGATTAAGATTTTTTTTTTTTGGACCGTTTTGTGCATGCTGTTACAATGACCGAGACTTTCAAACTTTTTTTATGTATTTATTTTTTTTAAAACACACCATAGCAATATTGTCTTTGCTACAGGAAAACATGCTTTCATAATTATAATGTCCTCATCAGACATTAAGAGACAAATAGACAAATAGATAATTTCAAAAACATATAATTACCGGTAGTTCAGCATTTATTTACACAGACATTATCTTTCTTTCTCATACAATTTAATGACAAACTAAGTCCTTTGACTGTATGGAACCAGATCTATATTAATTCAGTTTAATTCAAATTCAACGCATAGCCTATATACAGACACTGTTTCCCTTCATCACTTAACCTGAACCAGTCAGAATGAGATTAGAATATTGTAATCACTTATGCTTATGGAGTTTGTTCAGATGAGGTCACAGCTGACTGCTGTACTTTAGCCAGAAATATGCTGTCTTTAAGTGCAACTTTCCTATGACCCTTGCCTTTCAGATCTGACCATGAAATCATTTTCAGAGTTTATCACCTGATTATATGCTTTAAAGTGATGAGACCAATTACAGTAGATATGAAGCCTTAACTGGACAAATAATCAGTTTCCCTGAAACATTCTACAATTAGCCATCATCTTACATATATAGTGACATGGTGACGTGACATGTGGCCAAGTATGGTGACCCGTACTCGGAATTAGTGCTCTGCATTTATCCCATCCAAAGTGCACACACACATTATAGCGTGAACACACACCCAGCGCAGTGGGCAGCCATTTATGCTGCGGCGCCCGGGGAGCAGTTGGGGGTT